TACTACTACTGCTATTACTAGTACTACTACTACGATTACTACTACTACTACTACTACTACTACTACTACTACTTCTAGTACTGCTACTACTACTACGACGACGACGACTACTACTGCTACTACTACTGCTGTTACTATTACCATTACTACTACTGAGTTACTACTGCTATTGCTACTACGACGACGACGGTTACTACGACGACAACAACAACAACTACTGCTGCTGCTACTACTACTACTACTACTACTACTACTACTTCGGCAGCCATGGTTTTCCTTGCGTCTTTTAGTCGGATGGCTGTTTCACTGTACCGTTTGTGTAGTTGTTTGCGTTCTGTTTTATTCACCACTTTGGCCGTGGCGAGCCGAACAGGTGCAGTGGAGGTCTACGCGCAGGATGCGTCGTGGTGTGCCTTTCGATGGGTTCCTGGAGCCACTGTTGGAACCAAACAGCATCTCGTCAGTTCCACCAGATCAACAAGCATGTTCTTGTTTGCGACTTGCATTGAAGATTCACGCATGAATATCACCCTGCAACCGTGACAGGTCTGCGACGGCTACAGCCTTGCTTATGTCTTTCACCAGTCAGTCAGCCGATGCCGAAGTTCTCACGGCCGCAACAGACAGGGGCTGAAGCAAGGAGTTGCATGGGACGGGAAGAGGGAGCGAATCAAGAACAGAAGGACGGCTTTGTGGGAAGTCCATGTGCCTTTTGCTGTCTGGATACTTGTGTCATGGTTGACATTAGTGACATCCAAAATCCTGTTGCAATGGCGGAGGTTGCTGGCCTGACGCGCAGGCATCCTCGGTTTCCGTGTTTCGGATTTCGAAGGTCTCGCCTGGGAGCCAAGCGTTGACACAATGAGACGAGCCCACTCCCTACACACCACGCACAGACGGATGGGAAAGGCGCGATGGTGCACTAGGCCTTGAGAAAGAGACAGAGAGAGAGAGAGAGAGAGAGAGAGAGTTTTATGCGGCATTGGAGTACAGTTTGTTTGGGGGACCGCCCAGCTCATGAGAGTTGCACATGCAGCAATAAGCTGCGAGTTGGCGTACAGAACAAGTACCAAGCTACGATGAGGCCGGGGGTTTCAATAGGACTTGAGGGGGTCAACAGATCTCACGCGCGGCCTCATCGTGTAGCGAAGTCTTACACCGACAGACAACAACCAGGGCGCGTTCGCGCGCGAGAGCGCTCGTGCTCTCCTTTGGCTGTGCAGAAGAAGAGAGAGAGAGAGAGAGAGAGAGAGAGGGGAGCAATCCTCTTGCCCCTAACCCTGGCGAAAGAAAGAGAGAGAGAGAGAGAGCCATTTTGGCTCAAGCGATTGCAGGGCTTCGTGAATAAGAGGTTCACCGTTCTACGAGACCATCGCTTCAACCAAGGACCTAGTTGTGCAACGCAGCTGTACGGTGGCCTCACGCAGTGCCTTAGGGACTTTGACATCCCTCTTTGCCTACGGGGTCGGCGGACCTACTCAGGAATAGTGCCTTCGACTCGATTCAGGGGTCCATCTACCTCGAACGACCCGACCGACGCCTACAAGTTCGTGACTTGGGCATCG